ATATATAACAGGGTATTTAAGGGTCTTTAAAGTAGTATTGAGTTTAAATGTTTCTCTGCCCACCAGGCTGCTGTGCTCTTTGGTGTTTCCCCTGCATGCAGTGTCAGACGGCCAGTATGTACGGCTGGTGTTGTCTCTTGCCGATGTGTGACACCTGCGGCGTGGTGTCCTGCAAACTCCGGTCCAACATCAGGGCGCGCTACAATATTCCTGTGAGTCTTGGGGGGGGGGGGGGGGGGGGGGGGGCAAGGAGTGATAAAGAGGGGATCGTATGTGTAGCTTTTACTTTTTGACCCTTCTTACTTTTTAATGTGCATTTGTGTTGTTTGTGCTGCAGATACAATCAAATTATTTTTAGTTTGAACAATAACATTTGTTTTAACACAAAATAAATATTCAGTTTCTTCCAACAAAACTGCTTTTCTCACAAAACGAAGAAAGTTGATCTTTTAGTCAGTTTCCAAATGAACTTGCAGCTAAAGAAGTAGTATTTTCAGTTCATTTGAATTTAGAAGTTTTACCCACAGAGGTGAGATTTCTTGTTTCCTTTCAAACTTTAGATTTTCACAAAATCATGCAAAAGGGGTTTTAGACCCAAATTAACAACAAAACACTGCAATAATTTTAACAACTCATCGACCCGATCCACCTTGGTTAATTCAAGTCATCCATTAAGAAATTACTTCATCATCTTTTTATCAGGTCTGAGAACACCTACAGAGAACAGATGAGGCTGATGGGAATGATGTTGAATTAACATGTACTTACCCTTCTTCCTCCCTCCTCTTCCTCACTCAGGGCTCCTGCTGTGACGACTGCTGTAAGCTCATGTGGTGCTACACCTGCGTCTGGTGCCAGATGCATCGAGAGCTGAAGAACAGGGCCCGGCATCCGTCTGGCAACACCGTGGTGACCACTCAGAYCATCCAGGGTTAGAGTTTTATCCTGAGTGCATCAAACACTTTTACAAATAATCGGTAGCTTAGTAATGTATTGATTTTTTAAATTTTATTAGCTATGAATTAAATATGCAAAACAGATCATTTGAGTTTGTTCCTGTATCAGTATTAGCTAAAAGACAAATCCCTTAGTTTAGAACATGCACTTAAGCAAGCATTACTTGAAAGAAATTGCTGTAAGTTGTTTGTAATTGTCCAACATTTGTTTTCACAGGGCTTTCTGTTTAAAACTTTAGATTCATTCAGGTGTTTGGAGTTTTGTACGTTTTATAGTTTTTCAGCTTTGTTCCGCCTTTGAATCACAATAAAATTCTTGTTTCGTTGTAAAAGTTCAGTGTGAGTGGATTTTTATTTTTTTTCTGAGGTGACTCGTGATGTTTCTCTGTTTCACCATCATATTTCGCAWATTTTGCTTTTGGACATTTGTTATGACACGTAACCGTAGCCTCATGGTGATTTGTTATAAGAGCAGCTGATTATCATCTCAAAGCTCAAATAATACCCCGAATCCAGGCAGACACCATGAACACAGAGCAGGAGCAAAGAGGAGAAAGAGAAGGAGGAAGTTCAAACCATCTCCTCCTGATGGACAATGAGAGATCRTTGGGGAACAARTTGGACGAACTCCAAGCTCTTACAAGCTCTACCARATGCCTGAACCACCTCAACTGCCTCCTCTTGATGTGGAGGAGCAGAGCTCTACTCTGAAACTCTCCCTGATAACTTTTTACCCTGTCTCTTTCGGTCACTGTCCAAAGTTTGTGACCATAGGTGAGGGTAGGAAGGTAGACTGATTGGTAAACAGAGAGCTTCGCCTTACAGCTCAGCTCCCTCTTCACCACAACAGACCGGTACAGAGTCCACAAAACTGCAGAAGCTGTACCGATCCRTCTATCAATCTCAGGCTCCATTCTTCCCTCACTCGTGAACAAGACCCCAAGATACTTGAACTTCTCCGCTTGAGGCAGAACCTCACCCCCAACCAGGAGAGCGCAATTGGACTCAGATTTGGAGGTGCTGATCCTCATCCCAGCCGCTTCACACTCAGCTGTGAACCGCTCCAGTGAGAGCTGAAGATCACGGCACGATGACGCCAACAGGACCACATCATCTGCAAACAGNATGCCTGAACCACCTCAACTGCCTCCTCTTGATGTGGAGGAGCAGAGCTCTACTCTGAAACTCTCCCTGATAACTTTTTACCCTGTCTCTTTCGGTCACTGTCCAAAGTTTGTGACCATAGGTGAGGGTAGGAAGGTAGACTGATTGGTAAACAGAGAGCTTCGCCTTACAGCTCAGCTCCCTCTTCACCACAACAGACCGGTACAGAGTCCACAAAACTGCAGAAGCTGTACCGATCCRTCTATCAATCTCAGGCTCCATTCTTCCCTCACTCGTGAACAAGACCCCAAGATACTTGAACTTCTCCGCTTGAGGCAGAACCTCACCCCCAACCAGGAGAGCGCAATTGGACTCAGATTTGGAGGTGCTGATCCTCATCCCAGCCGCTTCACACTCAGCTGTGAACCGCTCCAGTGAGAGCTGAAGATCACGGCACGATGACGCCAACAGGACCACATCATCTGCAAACAGCAGAGATGAAATCCTGAGGCCACCGAACAGGACTCCCTCCACCCCCCTGACTACAACCTAGAGGAACAAAGTCGAATGCCTTCTGCAAATCCATAAAACACATGTAGACTGGATTAGCAGACTTCCATGATCTCTCAAGGACTCTAGTGAGAGTGAAGAGTTGGTCCAGTGTTCCATGGCCAGGACAGAACCCACATTGTTCCTCTTGAATCTGAGGTTCGAATATTGATCACATTCACTTCTCCAGTACCCCAGAAAAGACCTCACCGGGGAGGCTAAGGAGAKTGATGCACCTGTAATTGAAGCGCACCCTCCGGTACCCATTTTTGAAGAGGGGAACCACCAGCCCAGTCTGCCAATCCAGTGGCCCCCCTGGCTGCAACCCAGAAGTCCTCAGACTCTGCTCCCTCCATAGATGTGCCGGTGGGTCCGATAAGTATTCCTTCCACCTCCTGACAACATCACTGGTTGAGGTCAACAACACCCTACCTTAACTGAGCACAGTGTTAGTGAAGTTCTGCTTCCCTCACCTCAGCCGCTGGATGGTTTGACAGAATCTCCTCGGAGTTAATTGAGAGTCTTTGCCCAAGGCCTCACCAAACTCCTCCCACATCCAAGCTTTTGCTTTTGTGACCCACTTGGCCTGCAGATACTCCTCAGCTGCCTCCAGAGTCCTACCAGCCAACAAGGCCGATAGGACTCCTTCTTCAGCTTGACAGCCTCCCTGATGTGGGGTGTCCACCACCGAGGAGCAAGAAGCACTGACATACCTTGCAGCCACAGCTCAATGCAGCTGCTTCAACAACTGAGGCACGTAACATGGCCCACAAGATCTATCTAACGGGTTCTTCTATCAAGCTTTCAGCAAACCCTCACTACACATTTGGGTCTACCGGGTCTGCGTGACATCTTAACCCACCATCTGATCCAACTCCCTACCAGGGTATGATCAACTGACAGCTCAGCTCATGTTTTACTTGTTTCTCTGCTCCAATACACTTTATTTGAATGAACGAGTGATTATCAGGCTTCTGCAGAACTTGGAAGAAGTAATTCAGTGACTGCATCAGGTGTGTTGGAGCAGGGAAAAATGTAAAACATGCAGGGCTGCAGCCATCAAGGACCATGACTGCCCACCCCCGGCTTATGCATCATGCACCCGACATGTACGGCCCCTCCTGCAGGTGGTGGGCCCACAGGAAGGCAGACCCATGTAGCTCATTCGGGCTGAGTCCAGGCGCTCACAGACGAGCCCCTACCCCAGGCCTGGCTCTAGG